TTGCCATCTTTTATTCATACCCTTGTAGCCTGCAAAATGATTCCCCGGTTATTTTAGCATCTCTAATTAAGGGGAAGGAACTTCAGCGGCTGAAAGGGGGGGGGCGATGGGCCAAGAGGGCTCCTTTCTGCTGAGCTCAGCCCCACGACAGCCAGCCTGGCTGGGATGGACGTCTCTCTCCAGAGCGGGGTTGAGTAACTTTCTGGAGCGCTCTGTGCTTTTAGACTCCGTGCTGGGGAGGTGACTGTTTCTCCTGGAAGCCGAGGGTCTTCGCCCAGCAGCTCCTCTGTGCTTAATTGCTGGCCTGCACAGCAAATGCGTTTGCTGGAAGGGTGTAGAAATCTCCGTGGTGAGGCAGAGGCTCAGCACTTTGCTAATCTTATGGGGGCTGGGGAAGGCAGTGCTGGCAAGCCAGAGATGTAATGTCATGTGTGGGGGAGAGAGGGAACAACAGCTCCTGACATCCAGAACTCTCTGTCTGAGTACAGGGGACAGTCTGTGCCTGCCCCATCCTGACACCTGGTACCCAAGGACCTCGCTCCATTTTTCTCCCTTCCTCACTCCTGCTCCAGATAATTTTGTTCCTCCTGCCCCTCTGGGTACCCCCACTCCAGCTGTACAAAGGAGCTTCCCAATCTGCACCCTGCCCCACAGGCCCCATCCCCACGGCAGGGCTTGCCAGATCTCCCCTGCTCACACCCTCCTGCTGAAATCCTCCTGGACTTCCAGCCCTGCCAGATCCAAACTCCTGGTGTTTGTGGTACATGGCAGGCTGAGACAATGTGTCATGGGGCGCTCTGGAGATGCTTTCTCCAGGCACGGTACTGTGTGTGGGCATCCTAGATCCTGAATCAATGACGGCCTGTGGTTTTTCTTGGGTATTGCTGACCCCTTTGGCAGTAGACAAAGGGTAGAGAAGCTGAAGCTTCTCTGAGAAGCACCCCAAGCATCCCATGCTTTAAACCTGCACATCCCTGATCAAATACAGGGACATACAGGCAAGCAGAGCTGCTCCTGTGTCAAAGTGAGGGTGAGAGCAGCCATGCTGCACCTGATCTTGGAATTCAGCCCATGTTTGGAGTGGGGAGATGATTCTTTCCGTCCTTGCTTTTCTCTTCTGAGTATGCAGACAAATGCAGTCACACCTGAATGAGGTCTCTGAGCTTGTCAGTTCTGGAAAGTTTCATAAAATAACTGGCTGGCTAGTGAAAAGCCACTTTATTAGAGTCCCTGCTGAAAGAGGAGCACAGCAATAACTCAGCGCTAATGAATCAGTGGAGAATCCACAGGGGATTCAAACAGTTTGATGGCAAAAAGCTCCAACTCCAGCCTACGCTTTGTTAGAGACCTTACTAGGCCCTGGAGAATCTAAAAATGGTGCTCAACACCATGGGCAACCAAACCAAGGTGTTCCTCTTCTTGCTTGCAAGGCCAAATAATTCACAAAGCAATGCTCTCTGTCTCCTTATGGACATTGGATCCATGGGGATGCTGACAAATAACTATCCTGGGCAACAGATCCTTCTACTCCTGACTGCATTAAGGCAAGGGAGCTGCAGTTACTCCCTGTGTCCTTTCCTTCCTGCCTCTGCTCTGAACAGCACCAGCAATACTGGAAAGGTAGAAACAGTCACACTTCCAATGAGTAGCATGGGCTGTATCAGGAAGCTTGGCTGCTGATAAACCCAGCTTTGGCTGCTTTGGAGCAGCCAGTTCACTGGATGGCTGGAGCAGGAGCTTGGTGTCTGCCTGCATTCTGCTATCCTGCTTCTTTTCCATTTGTTAGTTGGCCATAAAGCTTCTGCTGCCCTTGTATATCTTCATCTGTCACCAGAGGACTTCCCTGGTGCTCTTTGGGTCTTGCAAAGCTCTGCTGTTGTCTCTGCAAGGCTCAGCCAGTGTCCCATGTTAGTGAGGGCACAGCATTGACTGTTTGGAGTCAAAGCAATGTCAAAGAGGCACGAGAGCATCCAGGAGAGGGGAAGATGCCCAGGGAAAGGCAGTCTTTGTGCAGAGGATGGGTTTGGGGCATGGTGGGGAGAGAGGAGAGCAGCTACACCAAGTGTGGGAGCAGCCAAGGAGGGGGCACTCCTTGGGCTGAGATGTGGCACCAGCTATCACTTATCTTGTCTGCCACAAAACAAAGCACAGGTGCCAGGAAACCCCCAGAGGACACCTCAGCAACTTCCTTGGCCTCTCTCCTTTTTAGGGCCCTTGAATCCAGTTTCTAGCAAGACAAAAACAGTTTTCTTGCTCCACAGCACACCTTTAACTTAAAGCTGGACTTCTGATTGAACTGGCACCCAGAGAATTTCCCAGGATATTGCATTGCATTGCTGCCTAACTGTGACCCTTTGGTCAATAAATTTTGTAGCCATGGACTCGAAATAAAATGCTTTCTGAGGCCAGCAGGAAAAATCAACACTTTGTGAATAATACCAAGGGTCAGGCTGGGAGGGCTGGAATTGGTGGGTCACAGATCCCAACCAAACAGCCTTGAAGCCAGGAGGGGAACCAGGGCTGCTGGTGGTAGAGGCTCAGCAAATGGCTGGGCTCAGGAAGGCGTGTGGTGAATTATTGATGTACCTGGTTCCAGGCTCTGAATGAGCAGCATCAGGGGCTGGGCGGGAGGCTGACATTTTGCATCCTTCCCCAGGGAGAAGAGGTCTGTCCATGTTCTCTGGGAGGAGGAGAGCTCTCCCCCTTGCAAAATTCAAGGCAGTAATGAAAGGCACAGGGAGAGATGGGGAGGAATGGGGAGTAGTAAACGTTCAGAATGAGGAGGGGGAGGAAAAATAGATTGGTTTGTCTTTGAAATAACATGCTAAGCCCCCAGAGACAGGCTGGCCAGCCACTGCACCGACCTTGCTTTGATTTGAGTCTGGATTATATGTTTTATGCAATGAAAAGTCAGCTCATTGGGAATGAATAACATCCCTGCTTGGGCTGAAGTCTAAAATCCTCTTTATTGGCACTGTCTGGGGACGACGTAAGTAAGGACACTCAAGGTTGTCACTAGGTGAGCTCTGCAGTGACTGGTGACAGAGGGACCAGACAAGCTGGGGTGCTGTGTCCCAGCTCCCCTGCAGTCTCAACCTCTGCCTGGGCAGACCTGGCAGCTGCAGGGAGACACAGCAGAAACTCTGATACCAGAGCCCAGACTGGAAGAGCTTGCAATCCTGCTGGACTGGTCTCTGCCACGAAGGTGTGCTCTACCTTGGGCCAGGAGGGTGCTTTGGGACTGCCCCGTGAGGTCCCTCTGTGCAGACAGGGAGGCAGACAAAGCCCTTCTCATCCCCCCAGGTCCTGCCACCAAGGCAGTGAGCAGAGGCAATGGGCAAAATGACGCGCTCCTGTCGCAAGTGCTTCCTGTCGCAACAAACCCTTACAGAGAGCGAAACGGCCTTCGGGGTTAAAGAAATGGGGCTGTGATTCCTGGGGAAAATATAAACAAATCTGTGTGTCGGTGCTGCCCAAGGCCAGGCCCTGCCACTGTTAGCACTCATTATTTTGAACAAGATCAGCGTCAGCAAGGAACACCTCAGCCTTCAAGGAAAACCTCTTCCTGACCTTCATCGATTAGCATGTGGCTTATTCTCTAAAATGGAGATCTCTCATTGCAGTAGCTCTGCCTGTTCTCACCACCTGCCTGAGACCTGATTCCTTCCCTCCATGTCCTGCTAAAGGAGACCTTGGGCTTGGAGGTATCTTGTGGCATAGCAAAGGCACATAATTATTTCCTGTTCCCTAATTGCATCTCACTGTTATTCCAGGAAATGTACTCTCGCTCTGTCAGTAAGAATAAATAGGAGATCTCTGCAACAAGGGAGTAACCGGTAATGGTCTAGATGTGACTGAACTGCAGATAGGAAGGAACTGGTCTTGGATTCTCAAAGCACTGAGAATAATAGCAAGAAAACTGAACTCTGAGACCTGTGAGCCCTCTTCTTCCTCAGAGGTTTGTCACTTAAAATTAGACAGGACAAAAAAACAGGAATGTGTTTCTGGGGAAAATCCTGGGATGGTGTCATGCTGAACACAGCAACACAGTGACCAGTCCTGGCAGGGTGGAGAGGCCCAGAGAAGTTGACTTTAGTCATGGCAGCCCTCTCCCCATCAGCCCTGCACTGTGTTGGTCCCACGGGTGCTGCCATCACCCTCTGCTGGAAGCAGAGGCTGGTGAAGACTCAGCTCCCTGGGTTTTGAGGTGCTGACTCAGATAATATGCACTGAATATATTCATATGTTCTTTTAGTGCAATCCCGCCTGAGAGCACAGCAGAGCTCTCGGGAGCCAGCACTGCCCGTGTTCTTCATTTCCTTCCCCAAAGGCCGTGTGTGCCAGAGGATCCAGTGGTCCCTGTACACAAGGATGCTGCAGTGATGTGTGGGACGAGCATCTTTGCTACAGGGCTTGAAAAGAAACAGGAAACCCTGATGCCCATTGGAGGACAGGGCACTGCTGTTTGCTCTGCCAGTCGATGTAAAGCTGTAGGTGATCGACAGGTGAGATTGGGTGTTGATTTATGGGTCGGGCTGGGCGCCGGCACCGGGTACCGCCAGGCTCGCAGCAGGAGCGGTCTCGATTCCGCGGATTGTCCCGGGGGAGCGCTGCCACCTCCAGCCCTGCCGAGCCCCTTTGTCCCGCTGACTCAGCGCAAGCTCCTGGCGCTCGGATGGCCCCGACAGCCCCTCACCCTCCAGAGCCCTGGGGACCCCACCCGCGGGGGACACGGGGGACACAGCGTCCCTTGTATGTCCCCCCTTCCCCTTGGGGACGCGGCCAGGAGGGCACCGGGCGGTCCCCGGTCCCCACCCCGTCCCCACCCCGCGGAGCACGGCAGGTGCCGGTGGGAGCGGCGCCCCGACGGGCGGCGGGGGCGGGCGGGGGGCTGCGGAGCGTCCCGCCCCGGTGGGGCCGGCTCCCGGCCGCCGGGACCACCCCCCCGGTCCCCGCCCTCTCCTCCTCCTCCTCGGCGTCTCTCCTCCCCTCGCCCGGCTCAGTCGGTCGCAGCCATGGCGGAGGGAGGAGAGGGAGAGGAGCTGCTCCGCCCGCCGCTGCCCGCCGGCGCCCCGGGCCCCAAGCGCTTGTGCTCCCGGGCCTGCCCGGCGGGGGGCACCGGGGCCGTGCACCCCCGTCCCGGGGCGGCGGGGGCCGGCTCGGCGGGGCCGGGCGCGGGGGCCAGCGGGGCCGCTCCGGCGCTGCCCGGCTGCTGCCCCGCGGCGGCGGCGGGGCCGGCGGGGGCGGCGGGGCCGGCGGCGGCGGCGGCGGGGCCGGGGGGCGGCGGCGGGGGCGGCGGGACCGGCAGCCTGCTGCAGCCCGAGTCGCTGCTGGACGCGGCGGCCAAGCGGGTGGCGGGGAGCTGGGCCTTCGAGCGGGTGGAGGGCCGCTTCCAGCGCATCCCCGAGCCCGTCCAGCGCCGCATCGTCTACTGGAGCTTCCCCCGCAGCGAGCGGCAGATCTGCATGTACTCCAGCTTCCAGCCCGGCCGCGCCGCCGCCGCCACCGCCTCCCCCGCCAGCGCCGCCGCGGGGGGACCCTCGGCCGCCGCCGCCCCCGCCCCGGCCGGCGAGGAGAGCCCCGCCGCGGGGCCGCCGCCGCCCGCCACCCCCGCCGCGCCGCAGGGCGAGGGGCTGCCCTTCCGCCGCGGCATCCGCCTGCTGGAGACCGGCGCGGTGGACAACGTGCTGCAAGTCGGTGAGTGCCGGGACGGGGCCCCCGGGGGCTCGTCTGTGTTCGTCGTTCCTCCTTCCCCCCACCCTCTCCCTTCCACCGCCCCCCCCCCCCCCCCCCCCCCCCCCCCCCCCCCCCCCCCCCCCCCCCCCCCCCCCCCCCCCCCCCCGCCTCCATCCTCTCCTGCACTTCAGCCTTTTGTCTGGCGCGGTTGTGGTTTGACAGGAAAATCCTGCCCCGGGGGCAGGGACCGCCGTGCGCTCCTCCGGGAAGATGCCGGCTTGGGGTTTTGGGGGGGGGGTGAGGGGGGGAGTGTGTGACACAATCTCCCCCCGGGCGGGGGGTGCGTGTGCCCGGGGTCACCGGCAGCCGCCCGCAGCTTGGGCGCCGTCCGTCCAGTCCGAGAGGGGGGGGAAATAAAGACCACCTCGTTTCCCCCCCAGAATGCCGCTGGGGGGGTTGTTTCGAGGGCACGCAGCCCTGCCGGCCCCCCCTTGCCCCGCAGCCGCCATCCCTCTCACCCCTGAGCCACCCCCACCCGCGGTCCCGCGGGGGTCCTGGCCCTTCCGTCGGGAGACGGGCTTATAAACATAATGCATCTCTCCAGCAGCTCCGAGCGTTCCTCTTTGTCCTCTCCATCAGGGGCTTTCCCCGCTTGGAACATCTCTAATGGGGCATGAGCCACCGCTTTCCCCTTCCCAGCCCCTGCAGGGGCACGTCCAGCGGGGCCGGCTCGGGGGGGAGCGCGGGGAGCGGGGGCGGGTGACGAGTTGGGTGGACCGGCGGGTACCACCGGTGACCTGGCGCGATGCGCGTGTCGGGGACGGACGCGCGCGGCCTTCTCATGCTCGTTCGGTGTCGAAGGGGCCGTGGGAATGATGGTGGGAATAATGGCATCGTGTTTTCTCTCCATGGGCAGGTGGCTTTTGTGTGCGCTGGCGGAGAGGAAATGTTCCTCTTCCCCTGTCCTCCTAGCCCCTGTCCCCATCTGAAATCCGCATATATTTGAAGAGAAACAAATTGGGGTGTTTTACATAAAATAAGCCGCTCCTCGTTGTTATTGGAAGGGATTGAAATGCGCGTTCCCATTAAAATGACATTAGGCGAGGAGAATTTGTTTTGCAAATGCGAAATGTAAATTCATCTTGTGCCAGGGTATGGCGTGAATGAGTGAAGGGAGGGTGGTTTTTGTTGTAAGGAATGGGTAGTTAGGCTGTGTTTATTTAAAGAGCCCTTCTTCCTTTTGGGGAAAAAAAAGCTGCTTAAAAAAAATAAAAATCCCTTTTGGTACAGTTTACATTCAGAAGAGCATTATCAAAACATTTTCCATTTGAGATGTGAGAATAGGAGGCAGCAGAAGAATTCTCCTCCTACCTCTGAGGACATGCAGTGAAAATTCCTGAAGCACAAAAGGTTTTTCTCTGAGGATATGATTATACCCTATTTTTTGGCGTGAATTAATATTTTGTAAGGGCTGCGTTAAGATGATTAATTATTCTGTTTAAAAGACTGTGAAACTCAAAACCAAATAATTTTTTTTTTTTTTTGGTAGGAGAGGAGTAGCTCTTCAGGAACTTTAAAATTAGGAGGGAAGGGAAAATAATAGCTTGCTGAGGGCAATGTTTTAATGACCTGCCCACCAAGGTGCGTATGCAGTGAGCAGCTGGTGTGGGAGTGGGAGACAGAGGGAATGGTTGCCTGAACCCAGGACTGGTTCTGTACAAAGGAATTTTCTTTTTAAAATAGTTTTTTAATTTATTTGTCTTTGAAACGTGGCTCTGATGAGCTTTTAGCCAATTATGTGCAGGATTTGGGCGAGTGCTGGGGTCAGGTGCATGTGGGACGCAGCAGAGCAGTCCCATCCCAAAGTGACACCCAGTGCAGGCATCCAGCATCCCATCTGCCCTGTCTCCCTGCGAGCCAGAGAACACATGGAGGGAGGACGGTCCTGGCTCTGGCGTTTCACATCCCCTGACAAGTCCAAACCGTCTCCCCAGCTTTGAAATCAGAGCTCGTGCTCATTGTCCTCCGAGCCGTCAGCTTTTTAGATGAAGCAGCATGTTCTGGAAGCGCTCGCCGCAAAGTCGGTGGGTGATTTATCTCCTGTTTTCACAGCCCGAGAGGGGCGCGCGGGATGCTCGCCAGGGGAGTTTGCCTTCGGAGCCGGGGGGGGGTTCAGGCCTTGGTTGTGGTGCGGCTCCTCTTTGGACAGCAGCGGGTGGGTGTTGTGGGGTCAGACACCTCAGTTTTTGTCTCCAGAGCAGCCGTGTCACAGCAGTCCCTTGCAGCCCCTGAGCTGGAGGAGGAAGATTTACATCAAACAAAAGGCTGTGAAGGGCTGCGTGTTTATCCCAGGCGGACAGGAGGCATAGCTGAGATGTCCTCCGCCAACTTTCCACATCCATCCTGCAGATGCCTCTGGAAGGTGAGGTGGAAGAGCTCCAGCCACCAGAGACACAAACACTTTGTGGCTGTGTGTGTTTGCAATTAAGATAGGAACTTGGGAACCATTATGTCCTGGAAAAAAAATAAAACCCCAACCCTGGCTTGCTTGATGCTCTCCAGCCCTAAATCAAAACTACTGTTCCCCTCTTAAGGATCCCTTGAGCGGACACCACCAGCTCCCGGCGCCATGACCTGAGGTTTGCACAGTTGAGACTTGCTGTTAATAAAGATCAGATGTTTATACAGTTGTGTTTCTGACTCAGACCTGTGAAAAAATAGGGATAGTACAGATGTGAAATTCCTTCTCTGTGGTTGGAAAAATCCCTTTGAAAAACTGAAAGACCAAATCCAGGAGGAATGACCTTCTGGCGATGGAGGGGGTGAGGGTTGTGCTCATGGGGACAAAGCGCTTCAGGCTCTGGCTCCCTCGTGCTTACAAAGCTGGCAGGTCTGAAAAAAACATATATGCCACATTATCAACCAATAATTCCTTCATGCTTAGTAAAACTTAAACGAGGCTTAAACCCTGATCTCACTGGAGTCATTAAATTGATTCCCCCCCCACCCCCCCAGCTCAAAGAAAGATCTTGGATGTTGAACACAGGCATCTTTGTCTCCTTAAAAACTGCTTTATTATTATGTGTACAGATCCCGTCTTTGTGTGTGTGTGGTGTGTGGGTTTTTTTTCTTTTAATTTTTAGACAAATGACAAAAGCATGCAGGAAAGGAATGCAGAAATGCCAGGCTTAATATAAAGCATGCAACTGCACTGCATGCCGGGAATCCTAAAGGATACAAAACCTTTAACGACAGCGGTTAATTTTTAACAAGTTCAGTCGCATAAATATTTATGAACAAAAGTTTTTACACCGTTATCTCTTGGGTTTTCGGTGAGAGAAAAGACCTTTGGTGGATTTTGACAGTAAGCTGTGATCCAGCAGAACAAATTCATGTTTCTCGCCTGCGCTGCCCAGTGTGGTGTAATACGGTTTGCCCTCGAGTCGTCACGGATGGCGATGGGTGGGCAAGTGTCCCTGGCAATTTTAGGGGGGGGAAAATTCTCCTTTATCGTCGTGTTTTTTTGCTAGATTGCTCATGAGAGGAAGCGTCGAGCTTTGTGTTGTAACCAGCCACTTAGGGACCTGCACGGTCTGTGCTCCTTACCCACAGATAAGCCTTTGTGCCCCGATGGGAAGGTATGCGGTCCAGCCATAAGTACATAGGCAGAATTTACTTTTACTGTTAGAGTAACAATGAAGCAGGGCTTTAAAATGCTCTGGCTTTGTAAACACTTGGAGGGAGCCTGGTTTTTTCAAGCCCGCAGTTAATTCTGGATATTTTATCTGATGACTTGCAGGCCTGTCCTGGGTGCCTTCCGATGTTTCCTGGTCTGGTGGCTGTGCTGGACATGCAGGCACTGGGGATTTTCTAACCCTTCTTCAACAGCCTTCTGCCTGGGCAGAGGTTAAGCTAGACCTGATACCTGTAAATGATACCCGTAAATGCATTTTAATTGGAGGAGTTCAGATTTGGAAGCTCTTTGTTACACTTTAATCTTCAGCTTGTGTCAGTGTATATTTGTAATGATGCCTGTTGAAATGCAGCTTAAGAGGTAAAAATACCAATGGGTTCCAGTGTGGTTGAAACCACTTTCAGTTTTTTTTTTTTTTTTCCAAACTACTTTTAGGTTTTAAGATCTTTTTTTTCTTCCCCACTAAAAATGCTTGCTTTTAAGCGAGCGTTTGGTTTCCTTCCCCTGTGACGTGGTACGGGGCAGAGTCTAAATTTATAATCCAGTGGTGTGTTGCTTTTATAGGGCTGTTTATTTTGGGGAAAACACTTTGATGGGGCTCTCTAGGGCCAATTGTGGTTGCTTTTGTTTTGTGTAAAGACTGGTCTCCTCTTGGGTCTGGGTTTAAGGCTGTATCCAGCAGGAGCAGGTTTAGGAGGAACACCATAGGATGTGAAAGGTTTTTTGAGGTTGAAACCCGGTGTCCTGTGTCAGAGTTTTGCTAAGGGAGTTAATGTTTCTGTATCCTCTTAGATTTTGTGTGGGATGCTTGTTGCACAACATGTTTCCAATTTGCTAATTAATTTTTACTTTGTTTTTCTTTAGGGGTAGATTACTTTATCATACCATATATATTAAAATACTTTTACCCACATAAAAGGGGTTGGCAGAGTTTCATTTAGCCCTATCATGATGGAAACTGTTGAACGTTTTAAATATACATTAAGCTCTTTAGGTTTCTAATTATTTTTTTTCGTAGCATATATAATTAAAACAAAGTATTATTAGGCGTTAAAACTTACGATCTGTTTATTGCTGCTCCCTCATAGGTGAAATATTTCTTGAGCGTGTTCTGGACTGTATTACAGAAACTGAAATAGGAGATGATGAAAACCACCAGAGTTTCTTGCTGGTTGTGCAGGGAGAGCTAGGATGACAGCTGGAATTTTAACCTTTTATTTTAAGCAGATTTATTTATTGGCTTTTGCATCTCTTTTTTTTAAGAGTATAAACAAACCCTCTGAGGCTGGGGCTGTCTTTTTAACTAGGCGGTTAATTAAATGATGCT